GCCTCAGCCTTCCAAGTAGCCGGAACTACAGGCGCGCGCTGCCATGCCCGGCTAATTTTTTAATTTATTGTAGAGATGAGGGCTCGTCAAGTTGCCCAAGCGGGTCTCGAACCTGCAGGCTCAGGCAATTCACTCACCTCGGCCTTCTAAAGTGCTGGGATTACAGGCTGAGCCACCGAGCCTGGACTGCTTCTTTCTTTAGTTTGCTTTCTCTGGCCTTTGGAGCCCACCCATGGGTGCCTCCTACTGCTGTTTCTGAACCACCTTTTTGACAGTCCTTACTATAATTCAAGCTTTCTGCCTCTGCTTTTCTTCATCTCATCTAACAAACACTTTCTGTGCTTCCCTCTACAGTTCTTCAGTCGGTCTTTCATTCCATCCCTCTAGCTTTTGTAACTTTTTAGTAATATTGGGCCAGCTCCTAGTAACAAAGTTTACTTTCAACAATCCTTGTCCTACAAGGTTTTCTGGATCTAATCCAGAATGTTTTCTCATTTGGTCCCTGAGTAGTTATAAAAAGGCTATGGGAGTTTCCTCCCTTTCTTGCAGAATTTCCAATGCCTTAGAAACATTTTGAGACCTTGGGGCAGATTTCCAAATGCCCCTAATCACTAGTTCCTTCAAGTCTTGCTTTCTTACCCTATCTCCTGGGTTATTACTGTCCTATCTAGGGTTAGTATTTGGATACTTTTGTTCAGCAGGCTGTATACCTGGGGCTGGGAGATGATCCCGTTCCCAGATGGACATAGCCGCTTGTCTAGTCATTCCTCTTTATTCATAAGTAAACAAAACATTCATAATTGACATTAGTTTTACCCAAGTATATATGTTAGGCCCAAGAAATTGATCAACTTGATCAGCCAATCCTAGTGGGTCCTCTAGAAGTGATTTCATTTTTTTCTTAAAATGTCTTTCTTCTGTAATGGTGAATGGAGCATTCACAAAACCAATTTATCCTTGTCCCAGTGGGACTTCCCTTAAGGGGAAAGGTTTTGACTTTTTGCCTGAATCCCCAGGAGGAATGGGAAACCTTGCAATATCTTTCTGGCATTCTTCCAATTCCCCTTTCACGTTAGGATAAATATGTTGGAAACTGGGATCTTGATTACCGAATTCCTGATAGATCCTCATTCCTGGTCATTGTCCCCCCCTCACACTCCTGGTCTTTCTGAGAATTATAAGGCGGGGGAATACAGGAAAGTAGATCCCAAGGCTTTTCCCTTTTCTCTGGGGGCTCAGATTGTTTTTCTTTCTTTTTCCTAACCACATTTCCTGGTTTTTTTGTTTGTTTGTTTTTGTGTTTTTTTGAGTTGGAGTCTCACTCTGTCGTCCAGACTGGAGTGCAGTGGCTGCTCCCGGTCACCACAGCCTCGACTTGCTGGGCTCTGGCAATCCTTCCACCTCAGCCTTCTAAGTTCCTGGAACTACAGGCGCGCGCTACCACGCCTGGCTGATTTTTGATTTATTGTAGAGATGAGGTCTCGCCAAGTTGCCCAGGCGGGTCTTGAACCCACGGGCTCAGGCAATCTACTCACCTCAGCCTCCCAAAGGCGCAGGATTACATTACAGCCTGAGCCACCGAGCCCGGCTCACATTTCCCCTTTTAAAGGGAAACATGGGAGGGGCCTGCGGTAGCCAACAAAGGGCATAGTCTCTTTCCTTAGATGAAACAGAGGGCTTATTTACATACATTGCTGAAGTTTGGCAAAGCCAATCTTCATCGGAACCAAACTCCAGCCAAAAGACCAAGGGCTGACATATAGTTTCTTTTGTCCATATAAAACAGCAAAATTTAATCATTCCCTCTTTCCCTTCTTCTTAGTTCTGGAATCATTTTCCCAATTTTCCAACATTCTCCCCAGTGGACTATCTGGGAGAATTTCAAGGGAGTCCTTCTGACCTCCCTTCCTAGGCCTAGACTGTTTATCACCCATTCTTGGTTACCAGGTTAGTCTGTGCAATTCCAGAGTTTTCCAAAAGGGTGCTCAATCTCCCATAATGGAGATGTCTCATAGACCTAGGCCTTTGATGAAAGATGTCTTACAGACTCTAGGCCTTTGATGAAAGTCTCAACACCCTTTAATGGAGGTTTCATGCAGATTTCAGGATTAAAACGTTTTAGTTGCACATACTCAACCCCCAAGAATCTTCCGAACCCCCAAGGTGGTACCTATAGTCTAATTTTCATACCTTAGCTCGTGCACGAGATTGCCAGGATGCCACGGTAGTGCCTGCCTTTTTCTTTGCTTCTCTTCCACTGAATCTCCTGCAACAGCCTCGGGCTTCTCTGCAAGCTGCACCTGACTGGAGCAGGGCATCTAAAATCAGGTGGGATGGATCTCCCCCTCCAACTGGGGTCCAGTCCTATAGACACAGATATCCTGGGTGAGCCCCCAACTGCTAGAGATGTGGGTACTAGGGAGCACCACCTCCTCCAGACTGGGTCCTCCAAAAATGACATGGAGGCCAGTAGAATGAAGCAAACTTCTTTTTTTTTTGGAGTTGGAGTCTTACTCTGTCGGCCAGGCTGGAGTGCAGTGGCACACTCACAGCCACCCCAGCATCAACCTGCTGGGCTCCAGTGATCCTTCTGCCTCAGCCTTCCAAGTAGCTGGAACTGTAGGCACACATTACCACACCGGGCTAATTTTTTATTTATTGTAGAGACAAGGTCGCGCCAAGTTGCCCAGGCTGGTCTTAAACCCATGGGCTCAGGCAGTCCACTTGCCTTGGCCTCGGCAAAGTGCTGGGATTACAAGCTGAGCCACTGAGCCCAGCCGAAGCAACTCTTTAATAACACTTTTGCAAGAACGGGTGTTCCTCGGATGAGCAGGCACACCGAAGCAGTTCAGCCAGAGTATTTAAGCCTGTTTCCTCATAGGCTGGGTACTTCCAGAGGTTACATCAGTTTCCCGGATGTTGCCTACATGTTGTACATTGATTGGGTTCCCTGGTTAGTTCATTTGCATGTTCTGTTTATTAATTGGTTAACAAAGGTTTGACAAACTTACTTCATTTGCATATCCTATTTGCCAGTTGGCTTACAAGATTTTGTTCCAGTTGGTTCCCTTGAAGTTTACATGAAAAAAGCCCACCAAAGTAAAAGTCTGCAAAAAAGAGAAGCAGGAAGTGACTCAGCAAAAAGCAGTTATGTATAGCTGTGACTTATTGTGAAAATAAATCATTGTTTTTCTTACAGGGGTAATTATGAAGTCAGGAGTACCAGCTCATGAAACAATTTAATTTGCATTCAAGTCTTGCTTCATCACTTCAGAAGGGGATGATAGGGAACCAGTTTGTGTTATCGAATTGGGTTTTTCTTTCTCAACTAGTAAGTAAGTGTGGTATCTGTGGTGAGGGCTGCTGTGATAATTAGGTAAACTAGTATTTCCAAGGCTCGTCTGAGTCTTGTGGCACATGCTGCTCCTCAGTAATTGACAGTGGGTGGTATGGATACTCATGGTGTAAATTGGTTTTAGTGGCTTTCTCACGCATCATCTGATGAGAGCAAGTTGGGAAGTTAGATGACTGATGGGTAATGTTTCCTGGTTGTGATGGATGCGAATGTGTCTCCAGACATTCTGACCCAGAGAGATGGAGAGTGCGTCATCCATGTAGACTCACGAGCTACCCTGGTGTGGTGATGGCATTGAGGAGAGGCGTGTTTAGACATACTCACCACCAGCCTCTCAGATGGCAGCCGTCGATGTGTCCCATGGTGAGTCCTGTATGTGCTCTTCTGCAAGGACTCCGGGAAGGTCCCCACACAGCTAGACTCCTGGGTTGGGCCTAAGCAGTCTTGCTCCTGGGTCGGGCATGAGCAGTCTTGCTCCTGGCTTATTGTGAAGGTGCTGGAATGTGCCAGAGTACATGGGTTTGCAAGTCAGCCCTAGAATGTTGCTTTAGAAGAGGGGATGCCTCATCTCCTTCATATGAGTTTTATTACTGCAGCCACATTTACTGGGGCTTAAGTATCTTTACCTGTCATGTAAGATTGCCATTTCCCAAGGGGTAGCAGAGCTCACCTTGCAGACAAACTGTCTTGGCGCTGTCTGGCATGTGTGTGTATGTGTGTGTGTATGCATATGCATGCTGTTGGTTTTGCAGAAACGCATGAAGATTTCCTACTAGGCTGCAATGACCCTGGGCGTGGAGTGTGTGAATTTGTTTAGCTGTGGGTTCAGGCGCCTTCATCTTTTCCAACAGGTCATGTTTCAACAGACCCAATTGGCCTCCGTGAAGAACAGACAGAGGCAGCAAGGATGGTGGCTGACTGTCTGATCAATTGCTACCAGGTATACCGAAAGCATGTTTTTCTAAAGATGACATCCCTGTGTCCACCAGAAATAGACACAGTTCTGTCTAGTCAGACTTGTCTCCACAGCTTCTTGTGCAAGTGAAGCTTCCATCAAGGACTGAGTTTCTAGTTGAACCACTCCAGGGAGCGGAGCCTAGTTGGTTAGGGGTCACCTTTATATTCATCCCAGTGTTTCTGCATTGATTATTAATTTGACCTCGTGGAGCCAAATGCATGCTTCTTATTTTGCTGTGGCACATGGTAAGGATTCGAGAAGCATCTTTTCCTCCGGGAAGTTCTTTGTCACCACCCTTTAACATGTGTGTAATGTACTCAGGATTGTGCTGCAGTGAGGGAAATGGGATGTCAGAGTTCCCTGTCTAGTTGCAGGGAGGTAAGTTCCCGTGTTAGAGGTACTGTTAGAGCCACATGATTGAGATCCAACAGTGAGTGAGTGTGGACAGAGGAGAGCTCCCAGGTCCACTGGGCCACAGGGTAGACACTGGGGCCTCCAAGTCCCATGTAGGAATGTGCACACACATACTGCTTCTTCACACTCCAGTGAACACTGACAGACAACTTCCATGGCCCAAACCATATGTGTGTGATGCTGCAGGACTCGGTGAGCTTTGAAGATGTGGCTGTGTACTTCACCCAGGAGGAATGGACTTTACTAGACTCAGCTCAGAGAGACCTGTACAGAGATGTGATGCTGGAGACCTGCGAGAACCTGGCCTCCATAGGTGAGAGTGCGTGGTTCTTTTCAGTGTCCTAGGATCGGTGGCATCACTGTCACTCTTTAGAAATGTAGACACTCAGAATCCACCTGAGACACACTGGTCAGTGTCTTTTGTGAGGCCTGGCATCTGCATTTTTTTTTTTTTTGAGTTGGAGTCTCACTCTGTCGCCCAGACTAGAGTGCAGTGGCCACTCCCGGCCACCGCAGCCCCGACCTGCTGGGCTCCAGCGATCCTTCCGCCTCAGCCTTCCAAGTAGCTGGAACTACAGGCACGCGCTACCACACCCGGCAAATTTTTTGATTTATTGTAGAGATGAAGTCTCACCAAGTTGCACAGACGGGTCTCGAACCCACGGGCTCAGGCAATTCATTCACCTCAGCCTCCCAAGGCGCAGGATTACAGGCTGAGCCACCGAGCCCGGCTTGTCATCTGCATTTTAACAAGCCCTCTGGATGACTCTGACTCACTCTAATGCTGAGAACCCCTGGGAAGTAGTTTCCCAAGGGAAAGAAGACCACTCTTCACTCCTATCTCAATAAAAGTGGTTTATTGCCACGACCCGCGCAGCTGCCTTGAGAATCCCGAGAGAGAGCAGTGAGAGATTAAGAAAGACACAAAGACAAAAGCTGGGGCCAGGTGGGACACTTTCCTCTGATGGAGGAGAAGTGGCCCCAAGCTAGCTCAGCATGTTTATTTTATAATCAAGCACAAGGGAAGTTGGAAGGGATTCAAGGTCTGTGAGGGAGCTATAATGAAATTATGTTGCTATTTAAAGGCAAGCAGGGTTTGTGACCCGCCTGGGCAGCGAGACCTCATCTCTACAATAAATCAAAAAATCAGCCGGGCGTGGAAGCGCACGCCTGTAATTCCGGCTACTCGGAAGGCTGAGGCGGAAGGATCGCTGGAGCCCAGCAGGTTGAGGCTGCGGTGGCCGGGAGTGGCCACTGCACTCCAGTCTAGGCGACCAAGTGAGACTCCAACTCAAAAAATAAAATAAAATAAAATAAAGACAAGCAGTTGTCTTGTTGTAGCTAAGGCTTTGTCTGTAGTATGTGTACCGGATGTGTGGGCATCTGAGACACCATTTGTGTAGCAGGCTGCATCCCTCACAGCCTGCATTTGGCTAGGATGCAGAGCTTCCAAGCGAGACCTTGCCTATGAGCTTGGGACCATTAAGTGAGACCTTGCCTTCGCTTGGGGCCTTTACTCAAGGCCTGCTACAGTGACAGTGCTTGTCTGCTCCTCACATCACATCCACTCCTAACAGTTTATACATGTATTGTTCCCAGGGTCAGAGATGGCTAATCTGTTAGGGACACAGAAGGATGGAGTACTTGCATTTTGGGCTCTTTTGAAGTGATGTTGCTGCTTTCATTAGATGTGTAGCTGCTGTTTCACGGGTGACTGGTCCTGTCTTGCATGAGCCTTCTCCATTGGTTTGTCTTTCTCTGTGTCCAGGAAACCTGCTCAACCATAGTGTGATGTATTGGCTGGAGGGGGAGGAAAACCTGGGGACTGTGCAGGAAGGAGATCCCCAAGGTGAGTGAGTATGAGGAACATCCCTGGTTGATGAGAAGTTCAGTGTAGTTAGAAACACAATAAGGAAATGTCTTGAGACAAACCTTGTCACTGAATGTGAGGCCATTGAACTCCAAAGTTTGGAGGTATTTCTTCATTCCATCTGTCCCAGACTTTTCTGAGCCCACAGATGAACTGTTCTTTTTTTCTCTGAGTGTGTAGTTTTAGTGTATGGTCTTCATCCAGATCTTTTCTTCATAATACAGTTTTTATTCACCGTCATATTTAATTTTGCAGAATAAGTTGTTTTAAAAAATTAGTAAATATTGACCCAAGTCTATTGGTTAATTGTAGATATAGCCAAGTTGCTTACATCTATTTTTCTTTTAGTTTTCTATTGTTTAACATAAAAGCAAAGACCAATGCGTTTGGTCATTTTTAAATTACCCCATTCACCATTTTGTTTTGCAAACCCTTATGTTTTCTCTCTTACACTTCAGAATGGCGACTTAAAACCAAAGGGTCAACACTTCGGCCAGATATTTTCTGGTTTAAACCTTCAAATGGGATTCAAATGGTAAGATTAACAAGAGAGATTTTCAATTTGCCATACTCATAAAAGATTGAGATTTTTATGTAGAAAATGCACAAAAATTAGACATATTTAAGAGAAGTAGTATTCACCCCTGGGGTACGAACGTCTGGAGGGATACCCTGAATATGAAAAATTGTGCGATACTCTAAATCTAGCTTCTGCATTCTCTCATGTATATATTACCATATGCATAACTAGTGAGAATATATAGGAAATTCTTTAAGGTTAGAGCAGATGAAACAGGATTTTTACCATAGAGTTTCTTTCTCTAATTTGAAAGACTTTTATAGTGCAGGCAATGTATGCATGTAACAAAAAGTCATCTTAATTGTGTGTTCTCTCAGTTGTGTGAATTCTTATTAATATATCTCAAAAATCTTAATCATCCTCCATCCCTTCATTAATAGGCAGGAAGCTACAGTGGAGGAGAGCTCTGTTACCACAAGCAACGTGGAAAAATCTTCAGTGAACACTCGGGCCTTATTACATACATGAGAACTCAAAGTGCAGGGAACACTTATGTGTCCAGTCATTATGGAAAATACTTTTTTATTCTGCACAAAGAAACCTCTACTGGAGAACGATTTTCTGTGTTGAATCAGTGTGGAAAAGCTTTTAGCCTGACTCCAGATGTTGCTGACCACATAACTTGCACACAAGACAAATCCTCAGACTGCAGTGACAGTGGAAAAGCATTTCCTAATCAGTCGTATTTTCAGACACATATGAGAACTCATAATAGGGAAGAGCTGCATGAGTGGAAGCAATGTGGGAGAGCTTTGACTCACCCCACAAGCCATGTTGAGCTTGTTGAAATGCACATTCTAAAGAATCCCCAGGTCTGTAGACCTCCTTCTGACCTTAAAATTCATATGCAAACCCACACTGTCAGGAAGCCCTTTGAACTAAAGGAATGTGGGAAATCCTTCACGGTTTCCTCAAGCCTAACTGAACAAGTGAGGACTCATACTGGAAGGAAGCCCTATGTGTGTGATCAGTGTGGGAAAGCCTTGACTGGGCGCTCAGGCCTTTCTAAACACCTACAAACACACACTGGAGAGAAGCCCTATGAATGTAAGGAATGTGGGAAAGCCTACAATAGGTTGTATCTACTAACCGAACATTTGAAAACTCACACAAAGGAGAAGCCCTTTGAATGTATGGTGTGTAGAAAATCTTTCAAAAATTCCTCATGCCTTAACAATCATGCTCGAATTCACACTGGACTAAAACCCTATACGTGTGACTACTGTGGGAAAGCATTCACTGTGCGCTGTGGCCTTACTAGACATGTACGAACTCACACTGGGGAGAAGCCATATGAGTGTAAGGAGTGTGGGAAGGCCTTTACTGTTTCTTCAAGCCTAACTGAACACGTACGTACTCACAGTGGAGAGAAGCCCTATGAATGTAAAGAATGTGGAAAAGCCTTCACCACATCCTCACACCTTATTGTGCATGTAAGAACTCACACTGGAGAGAAGCCTTATAGATGTAAGGAATGTGGGAAAGCTTTCGCTTCATCTTCACACCTTACTGAACACATAAGAACTCACACTGGAGAGAAGCCCTATACGTGTAAGGAATGTGGGAAAGCCTACAATAGGTTTTATCTTCTAAATGAACACTTAAAAACTCACACAGAGGAGAAGCCCTTTGAATGTATGGTATGCAAAAAATCCTTCAGAAATTCTGCAAGCCTGAATAAGCACATTCACATTCACAAAGGAATAAAACCCTATGAGTGCAAGGAATGTGGGAAGGCCTTTACTGTTTCTTCAAGCCTAACTGAACATATACGAACTCACACTGGGGAGAAGCCCTACAGATGTAAGGACTGTGGAAAAGCTTTCGCTTCATCATCCCACCTTACTGAACACATAAGAACTCACACTGGAGAGAAGCCCTATATATGTAAGGAATGTGGAAAAGCCTTCCGTGCTTCCTCACATCTACATAAACATGTGAGAATCCACACTAAACAGAAACCTATGAATGTAGGGAATGTGGAAAAGCCTACAATAGGCTTTATCTACCAAATGAACACTTGATAACTTACAATGACAACAAACTTGTTGAATGTAAGGAATGTGGAAAATCCTTTAGGAATTACTCATGCCTTCATCACACTAAAATTCACATTCATGAGAAAGCTTATTAATTTAAAGGATGTGGGGAAACTTTTGGTTATCCTAGTTCACTTTGCAGACATGAGTGAATTCACATTCAAGATGCCCCTTGATTTTGAGGACTGTGGAGAGCCATCAGAATCTCATTATAGTCCTGGAGTAAGACCTCACCTGGAGCCACATAGTTAAGAAGCACAGAAAGCCCTCATGCTTCCTCAGGTCTTACTAATGGTGTATGATCCTCCTGTGAAGACGAACCCTATTGATGTGTGCTGTGTGGAAGAGTTGTACTGCTCAAGACTTCCATATCCACTTGTTATCTCACAATGAAGAAAAACTCTAAGAAGGTAAGAAATGGTAGAAAGTCATTTTTTTAATGTTACGTTATCTCTCAACCTTTAGCAATTGTGGTTCACACTAGAAATTGTGAATGTACAGGATCTAATGTTGCACTACATCCTGGCATTGCCTCTCTGTCTTGAAATATTTTATGCTGGCAGAGATAAGACTTCCTGAGTGGATCTGTAGGCATACTATGAACATGTATAGATCTGCACTGGTCATTCCTGGAGTAATACTTTTTCCCCTATAGTAATACCACTCCAGCCCACTTCCTACACCTTCCACACTGAAACCTGGCTGAAGTGGGCTTCAGGACTCAAACTTAGTCCCATTTTGCAGTGTCGATCCTTTGTTGTTCTGTCACGCTCTTAGACATGGTTACTCACAGGGGCTAGTACCAGCCAACATGGCATTTATAAGGCAACTTAAAACATTGTAGAAATTGCCCTGTTTTTCCTCTCACAAGGTATTCTTACAGATAAAAAAGGCCAGGGAGCAAGGAGGGACAAAGTGGAGAAAGAGTGAGGTTAATGTTAGTGTTCTGAGAGACCCTGATTTCATGAGAATGGAGGCAGAACCATGACCCCTGCCCCAGGGAGGTGGGCATCCCGGTAACAGTGTAGTGAATGCTGTCTCTGATCTCTGGATTATTCTACAGCCTGGCAGAGCAATGATATCCAATGTCTGGGTCCAGCAACTGCTGGGACTGGCAGTATAACCAACTTCTGTGTTAGTCATTCTGTTTACATGCTACAAAAATCAAAAAACACCTGAGAACACAGCTAGTCTTGCTGTTGCAGTATGTAAAACACCATCATGTCACATTCTGAATGGGGCCGTTGAACACATACAGAGCAGCACACCCAGGCACCAGAGTGGGGAAATATGTGCACTTCTGACTCTACTATCTGAGCTTGTATATTCTATGGTCATTGGATCTGCAGCTGCCTGATGACTATTTCCATGGCGTGTAACCACCCACTGTGCTGGTAACATACATTGCAGTACAAAATAAATCTCGAACAAGGAGAACTGTGTACTTTTGCATCACTTGTTTGTCCATAGAGAGGAGTGGGTATGGATAGTGTCTTGGGTGAATGTGGCCATGGAGCCCAACTACAGCTGCCTGTCAATTTTGGTAGTGACTCAGCAACCATCAGGTGAATCTGAACTGCTTGCATGGGTTGTAGTGGTTCCGGTAAAGACTCAGTACCTTCCTGATTGTCTGAACTAGGCCCTGGGTCCCCATTGGAACTTGTTCGTAGTTGCCTGAATCAGAAACCATGGGTCACGTGTGAGGTCAGCTCTGCAAGTTGCCTCACCCTTGTGCTTGGACTCCCAGTGAGAGGGATGTTGAACAAGTGGTTTCCAGACCACTGGCCCACACATTGTCCTGAGAGGCTCACTGCTGGTAGAGATGTCACCCAGCTAAGACCTCATCCCTGGAGATGACTTCACCCAATTCTCCAGAACCTCCGTTGGAGTGAAACCGTGAACAGTGCTCCTAAGGTACAAATTTGACACCAAGCATTTTCCCTTTTCCTCCTTCAACAGTTGGGGTTCTGTGCTTGCTTGAGCTTGCTGTCCACTTATACATGATTCTGGGGTGATCCCAGCCAAAGCATCACATCCCACCCTATGTCAGTAGGATTGGTTACTAATGTCTGTGATATACTGATTTTTTTTTAGGGGGGTTGAATAAGCGTTTCACTCTGTCACCCAGGCTACAGTGCAGTGGCACAATCACAGCTTCAACCTCCCAAGTAGCTGGGACTACAGGTGCATACCACCATGCTGGGCTAATTTTTGAATTTTTTGTAGAGACAAGGCCTTGCTATATTGCCTAGACTGGTCTTGAACTCCTGGGCTCAAGCAATCCTCCCACCTTAGCCTCCCAACGTGCTTGAATCACAGACATGAAGATATCTTGATAACTGATAACAAAATTATTTTATTTTTCTACTTTGTACCTGTTTCATGTCAGTCAACCTCCCTCCCCTGAGAGGGGACCACTGACTCTCCATTGCTTCCCATTACCCCCACAGCTCTCTATCTTGATCTTACTTTCTCACCTCAGTTTTTCACAAAATATTTCTTACTTTTTTTTTTTAACTTGTCACTGCCTCCCTTTACAACATTTTTCCAAATCTGCCGTCTTAATTACTGTCAGACTTATACTTTTAATACCTTTTACAACTGTAGATTATTATTGACCTGCCAACATTTCCAAACTGCCTTCTCAAGTAAGACCACATGCTTAGGTTTGGATATGGTGTGTTTGTCCCCTCCAAAGTATGCTGACACCTGATCCCCCCATGCAGGTCTGGGATGTGGGGCCTAATGGGGCATTTCGGTTACAGGGCTGATCCCTCATGAATGGCTGGATGTCATTAGCTCTTGCCCTCTTGGGACTGGGTTGGCTTTTGAGATGCATTAGTTCCTGTGAGCACAGGTGTTATTAAGCCAGACATCCTTGGGTTTGTTCCCTCCTCATATGTGCGTCTTCCATTGACCTCTGCCCTCTTTTGACAAAGCCCCCACCACAAGCCAAACAGATATGGGTGCCATGCTTCTTGTCAGCCTTCAGAACTGTAAGCAAAATAAACCTCATCTGTGTGAATTACCCAGCCACAGGTACTGCGTTACAGCAGCACAAGACAGACTAAGACACTGCAGAATGGAAAGCTTGGCTGTGGGCTGGCTTACATGTCCTGTGTACTACTGCCTGTGTTTCTCCTTGTCAGGATGTTGTCTGTACTGATTTGGATGATGTATGCCCTCCTATCTGAAAGTCTTGACTGTTGTCATCTCAGTGTTCCTGAGTGTGAGCTTAAACTGTTAGAGGATCAATTGTACTCACTATGTTTCATTTTTGTATACTTGGACACATTGATGTCCTGGAAGTCTTGCTGACTGGGGCAGACTGATCCCCACTAGGGCTGGGTGATTCCCAAAGATGGTGAACAACTTGCTAGGGAGCACCACTCCACTTGCAAATCAACCATCCAACCCCTATATGCCTGGCCACTTCCTTTATCCAGTGCTAGCACACCAATCCAACATGTCCCCTGCCCTGCATCAGCCCAGGGCAAGGCACTGAGCAGCTAGGGACATGTCCCAAGCCCCTGAGTCCACCAGCATTATTCAAACGAACCAGCCCCAGACATTTCGTTCTTCCCTGCCTTGCCTGTCCTGTGGACACCTCCATAAGGGTCATGGTCCTTGCTTGCTCCTTACTCCTGCTTCTGCCTCCTGACCACCTTCACAGCTCCAGTGGGCCCTACATGGGAAGGCATGACCCCTTCTTCTAGTACCATGAGTAAGAAACTCTTCTTTTAGTGGCCTGCACTTCTTTTAGTGAACTGCATCATGAAGTTACTTGGTAACCTTTCTTAAGTCAGAGTATCAACTGCATGTCACTAGCATGGCTAAAATGAAAAAGACAAGTGTTTTCAAGGGTACAGAGAAGTCAAAACTCTCAGAGGTTTCTGGAGGGAATGCTTCCCTGTGGAAAGCAGTGTGTTTTTCCCAATGTTAAATATATAGGTACAAATTGACCTAGTAATTCCACTGCTTAGTATATACCCAAGAGAAATAGTCAGCTGTATCCACAAAAATATATACATGAATTTCCACAGAGTGCTCAGAATACCCCTTGAGAACAACCCATATGCCCATCAATTGATAAATCAAATAAAACGTATTATATCCTTACAACAGAATAGCACTAGCAATAAAGCAAGGATATATGCTAAGACAGTGGTCCCCAACCTTTTTTGGCATCAGGGACGGTTTTGTGGAAGACAATTTTTCCATTGATGGGAGAGAGGGAGGTTTTGGGATGTGTAGGGAGTGAACGAGTGTTGTCTGAACAGCAGGCCTTGAGCAAAGGCAAGGCCCCAAGGGAAGGCAAGGTACCGCTTGGTTGCTCTGCATCCTAGCAAAAGAGCCAGGGATGCAGCCTGCTACTGGGAACGGCATCTCAGAGCCCATGCATCTGGATAGATGTGGGGAGTGAATGAGCGTGGCATGCGAACAGCAGGCCTTGAGCAAAGGCAAGGCCCCAAGCAAAGGTTAGGTCCCACTTGGTTGCTCTGCATCCTACCCAAAGAGCAAGGGATGCAGCCTACTACACAGAACAGTGTCTCAGAAGCCCACACATCTGGGTGCATAAAGTACAGATAAAGCCTTAGCTACAAGATAGCTGTGGAACAGCTTGCCACTTAGGTAGCAACAAAATTCCGTTATAGCTCCCTCAGAGACCTTGAATCCCTCCCAACTTCCTTTGTGCTTGATTATAAAATAAACATGCTGAGCTAGTTCGGGGCCACTTCTCCGTCAGAGGAAAGTGTTCCGCCTGGCCCCAGCTTTTCCTTATGTCTTTGTGTCTGTGTCTTTCTTAATCTCTCGCCGCTCTTTCTCGGGACCCTCTAGGCAGCCACGCTGGTCGCGGCATCTGGCGCCTGAACAGGGACCTGAGCACGAGAGAACTCCTAATCTTAGGTGAAGAGATGCTCCAAGAGATGAGCACCTAATAAATAAAGGAAGGTAAGGAGCGGATTTAGTTTCAGCTGGTTGTAAAACATGGGTAATTCTGGCTCCTAAGAGAGGAGTCTGTATGTCAAAGTGTTAAAATCTATGCTTTGGGCAAAAGGCTGCCCAATTAAAGGTTCTCAGCTAGAGAAATTTTTAAGCTTTGTGCAGGAAACATGCCCCTGCTTCCCTGCTCAAGGGTCAGTTAATTGGATACTTGGTAAACAACGTAGGTCGGTAAATAACTTAGAGGGCCAAGTTCCCCCCAAGCCTTGTTCATGGCCATGTTAGCGATTGTTGCCTGTCAGGTTGGTGGGACAAGGGAAAATCCTTACTGGACTTATTTCCCAGATCCCCCCATTCTCCAACGCGTTACTTGGGCTGGCGGGTAGGTCCCTGTCTTTACCAATGATACTCATATGTTGAGGGGACAGTCTGATAAACATATTACTGCTGACCATAGTACAAATTTTAACTTCATGGGGGCTAGTAATAGCCCTCCTATTTGCCTTTCTAATACCCCTAAGTTGGGTTTTCTTAAGGTGAGTCAAGAAAATAAAACCTCCCATGGGTCTACACAAATAGCTAATATTTCAGGCCCTTGGGACATAATAAAATACGTACAAACCATATCTAAGTGGGGGTTCCCTAGTTCTACTTATAATGTCTCCCAGGCTCAACCCAATATCTCCCATACTGCCCTAATAGCACAGGGATAGAGCTTGGAAAATCCCCAATTGGATAGAATGTGCCACTCCTGTGTCCATGGTCTGAAATCGTACAGAAACCCCCCTCTTAATCTATATTGGTCTCACAGACTGGACCCCTCTCATCCTAACCATGAGCTCATTTCCCCTCGGGACTTTGTTGGCAACATCCTTACTTCTTCCCAAGGTGACATCCAAATGGAACTATGGCAGCTCACTGCCTCCCTTGGTTTTGTTAACTTTACTAGTGGGTCATTGGTCGATTTGGGAGAAAGTTGTGGTACAACCTCCCCCTGCTATGGGGTACAGGCCTGTGTCCAACTCCCTTATGTTCTTTTAACTGGCTCTGTTAATGTCACCCCAGTAGATAACCATTATGCCTTACAATGTAATTCTTGTAATCTTACAAATTGTGTCACCCGCCATATGCGGGACAAGACATCCTGGTTTTACACCCATCTCCCTTTATTATGATTCCTACTAATATATCAGGCCCTTGGTATTATAATGCAGGACTGCAGGTGCTTCAGGAATTACACCACCAACTTGAATCCTGGCCTCGTAGGGCCGTTGGATTGATAATTTTGGATTGATAATTTTTGGATGACCTTAATTTTGGTCATCACTTCTGCAGTGACTACCGCTGCCACAGTCTCAATCCATCCAAAATGCCGAGTTCATCAACACTCTAGCTCGAAATACCTCCAAGGTCCTACAACAACAAAAATCCATAGATTTAAAACTAGAAACAAAACTGAATGCCTTGGAGGCTGCAGTCATTGAATTGTGAAACCAGATAAACTGCATAAAAATGAAACAATGACAACAATGCCATGCGGCATACAATTGGGTTTGTGTTACTTGTGTTTCTTATAATAATAGCCTTTGGAATTGGAACTTAATTAAAAAACACCTCCAAGGCATATGGAGTAACAATAACGTCAGCACAAACCTGCTCAAGCTCTACCACAATATTCTAGCCATCCAGAATAGCCAAGATCCTATCGTACAACCCGCCCAAATAGTACAAAATCTTCTTAATGATCTCAAGGGATTCAATCCCTTTAATATGTTAAAACATTCTGCCTGGTATGTTTTGAGTTTTTTCATATTTGCTCTAATCCTCCCTTGTTTTTACCAGTCGGGTATGGAATCCTCTAACGCCAATTCAGAGCCACCGCAGTAGCCATCCATCGCCGACATTTAGACAGAAAAGGGTGAGATGTGGGGAGCAAATGAGTGCTGTCTGAACAGCAGGCCTTGAGCAAAGGCAAGGCCTCAAGCAAAGGCAAGGTCCCACTTGGTTGCTCTGCATCTTAGCCAAAGAGCAAGGGATGCAGCCTGCTACATGGAACGGTGTCTCAGTGGCCCACACATCCGGGTGCGTATAGTACAGATAAAGCCTTAGTTACAACAAGAAAACCGCAGAACTGCTTGCCATTTAGGTAGCAACAAAATTCCGTTATGGCTCCCTCATAGACCTTGAATCCCTCCCAACTTCTTTTGTGCCTGATTATAAAATAAACATTCTGAGCTAGTTTGGGGCCACTTCTCCATCAGAGGAAAGTGTCCCACCTAGCCCCAGTTTTTCTTTATGTCTTTGTGTCTGTCTTTCTTAATCTCTCGCCGCTCTCTCTCAGGACCCTCAAGGCAATTGTGTGGGCCGCGGCAGGGATGATTCCAGTGTGTTACCTTTATTGTACACTTTATTATTATTACATTATAATTTATAATGAAATAATTATACAATTCACCATAACGCAGAATCAGTGGGTGCCCTGAGCTTGTTCTCCTGCAACTAGATGATCCTATCTGGGGATGATGGTAGACAGTGACACCTGAAGTGTGTCGCTTATGTCTAGTCTATTCTGTAATCTCATATTGGTTGTTGTCACTGCAGAAAACCCTGCTTCACTAAGACAGATGTTGGAAAGAGAAGCAAGCTTTTCAGTGCTGATCTGACAGAAGGTGGAGCTAAGGCAGTAATGCCAGCAATGGGAAGTGACTGTAAATACAGATGAAGCTTCACTCACTCCCCTGCCACTCACCTCCTGCTGTGCTGCCTTTTCTCAATAAGCAGCGTTACAATAGCTAGCCCACTTTCTGGAGGAAAAAAAAAATAGCATCCACTACCCCACGCCACATGCCAGAATACATTCGGTAAAAGATACACAATCTAAGGGCAGACCCCTTGGGTCCCCTCCCACTATGGGAGCTTTCTTGTCCTCTCAATAAATTCTGCTTTCTAAAAAAAAGAAAAAAGATACATAACTTTTAAAAAGTAATACATTTCAAAAGAATATTTGAAAATCTGAATATAATGTAGAGTTTGAGGAGCCTTTTTATTTTCACTTCTTTTATTTTTTTATTTTTGGGTTTTTTGGTTTTTTTTAGTTGGGAGTCTCACTCTGTCGCCCAGACTGGAATGCAGTGGCAGCCTCGACCTGCTAGGCTCTGGCGATCCTTCCGCCTCAGCCTTCCAAGTAGCCAGAACTACAGGCGGGCGCTACCACACCTGGCTAATTTTTTGATTTACTGTAGAGACGAGGTCTCTCCAAGTTGCCCAGGTGGGTCTCGAACCCGTGGACTCAGGCAATCCACATGCCTCGACCTCCCAAAGTGCTGGGATTACAGGCTGAGCCACCGAACTCGGCTGAGGAGCCTTTTTAAAGGAAGGCAGGAAACTCAAAATATTTTAAAAACAAACTCTTTTGGTTACATAATAATTAAAGATTTTATACATCAAAAGTATATTAACACAGCAAAATAGTGATCAATTCCGGGTGCACAAACAGATTTGGTAATGCCCAGGAAGAATTCTTGATAAAGTGTGTGGCAAGTCAGGATCTAACAGTGACTGCATGAACTCCACAGAGCACCCAGGGAAAAGCACAGCACAGTGACTGCAGGAGAACTCAGAAACCCACTGCCTCTGGAGGAGGGGCCGGCGTCAGGGCCGTCTCACGAGGTGCCAGGGAGGCCAGGCGAAATTGTGGGACCCGGAAAAGGGAGCCAGCAATGCGTCGCTGAACAAAGTTCAAGCTATTAGGAAAAACACCGAAGTCACAAAGGAATGAGCGTAGAGCTTGGCACGGTGTCCAGACAAAACCAAGAGGAAATAAAACTCTCAAGACTGGCTTAAGCGAGTGGAGTACATTGCCTCGTGGAGTGGCCCATATGGCAGCGCAGACCAGTCGCTATCTGGACTTTGGGACGTGGCCAGGCACGCGGAAAGGCTAGAGGACGTGCAGGAGAGGAACGCGCCGCTCGCCCCTCAGCACCCCCGCCCTCAGTCAGGCTCGCCCCCGGTCTCAGCCCAGCCCTCCCTCAGCCAAGATCGCCGCGCTCTCAGCCCCGCCCACCCAAAGTCAGCCCCGCCCTCTCCAGGCAGCCCGCTCCCGCTCGCAGCCCCGCCCCCCACCAGTCAACCCCGCCTCATTGCCCCAGCCATACCGTTCGCTCCGCTACGCCCGAAGGCTTGGGCCCTTCCCGAGGGCTGGTTCCACCCTCACCTTGTGCTCTGAGCCTGTCTCTGCCTCCAGATGCCGTGTGGAGCCCACCCCGGGCCCCACACCCACGCGGGGCAGGCTAAAATTTCCCGGCCTCAGAGGAGGCACGTCTCTCCGGATTACCCGCCCTCTGGCGGATGCCGGAAGCGGAAATGCCCTCGGCGCGTGTTGTGCGGTGCCCCATCGCGCCACTTCTTTCCTCTTTCCGCGTGGAGCGCGGTTCCGGGCGGTGGCGGGTTCCGCTGAACGGCGGCCGGAGGAACGGGACGATCTGGGACCGGGAGTGCCGGGCTCCTCGCGCTTCCACCGGGCGCGGGTGTCCTTGATCAGGCACCTGTCGCCGCCAGGGTCGCGTGGACCACGCTCAGGACACGTCCTAGGCGCCTCCCCCGGCTCTCTGCTCCGGAGTCCCCGCCCTCGCCGCCGCCTCCGCGCGTGTCCTCGGGTGAGTCGGGCCGGGGCCGCCGCCGCCTGGTCCCCCGCCCGCCTCCTCCCACTTAGGGGCAGCTCCGCCAGAGCCG